AATCGATAGCCGAGTTACCTCCTAGAAAATGACGCAACTTTAAAACAACACCTTGTACAGTATACTGTAATACGATCATAAATTCTTGTATGACAAATGAAACTAATTTCTGTACCAACCGTACAGTTCATCCAACTTTATTATGGAAGACAAAATAAGCTCAGGTGTAGTACCGGTCATGAATACAATTTTAAAGCAATAATAAGTTATAATAAATGATAACCGCACATTATTTAGTGTTAATTACGCCGTGAACTATGCAAATGGTGACGCGGTAGTAAAGTGGTGTTACACCGGCGCGGACACTCGTTTACAATGTAAATAACATTGCTTCATTGTACATTAAACGTTCTGTCGCTGTTTAGCAATGCAATTATTATAATTTAACAATTATTGCGAGTGGATCTGTGTACGTTGTGATTTGTGTTGTGGCTGTACTTACATATATGTTGCGTGTCAATCATAAACTTTGGGAGCTCATATTTTAAATAAGGATTAAACTGTGAAACACCAAGCGGTCACCGGTGACCGCAACCTATTGTTCTATAATTGTGTCTACAAAACCGGTACTCGACGAGTTAAAAAGACAAATAGCTACAAAAAGAAAATATATTTGACTTTCATACTCGACACCTGTTCATGTATTTATTCAGATGTTAAACATCTAGATGATCATTAGTAATTTTCATTGCATTAGGTATGGTCAGCTATCCTTAAGACTTTAAATTACATTATTTGTTTTTTCTAGAGATGTACTCTCAAAGTTAGCAATCACGAGGTTGCACTCTAGGGGTGGCGTCACTTGAATATGAATAACTTAGTAAGTCTTAAAACTCCCGCCTGGACCGTTAAGGGATGTCTTCAAGTTTCAGACTCAGGTCCAATGCTTGACTGTTTATTTGATTAAGTTAATGAATATGAAATAGAATCTGTGTATAAGTAGCATCGTAACTTTATTAATAATACCGAAATATCGTGTTCTCATATGATGAGTGTTACAGGAGCCTTTCAGGTGTGTGACCATTTGTTAGTGACTTCCTAATATATACATAGCAAACATGTGCCCACGGCCACTTTCTATCATCGCACTGCTCGCCATCGACAGGGATTTCACGCTCAGATATTGGACCCCAAATGGTACCGTACAGTTCGGTTTCAGAGGAATTTTCTCCCACGGACCCTCCGATTGTACAATGAACTCCTGGCCGTGGTTTTCCCAGTAAGCTACAACATGGGGTTCTTCAAGAGAGGAGTGAATAGGTTTCTTATGGGCCTGCAAGACGCATGTAATGCCCCAAGTGTTGCAGGCGTACATAGGCCACGGTAACCGCTTACCATCAGGTGGGCCATGTGCTTTCTTGTCACCGTCTCATGGTCGTGGTATAAAAAAAAACAACAATAATAACAAACACTAGTTTCATGCACAATACAAAACTTGCTTTATTATTTACGTATCTACGACATTAATACCCACAGGCAGCGATCATAACAAAACATCTATTCATTCAAAATCATATTAAAAACCTCACAAAGCAAACACCTTAATTTGTGTCCTAGATTCACAGCATCCAGACAATTGGCACGACAGCTTCTTTGAGGCGAACGCACACAAAGAGTGACGTCACAGGCCAGGTACTCGCTAAACTGAACAAAAGGGACATCGCCAAGATAAAAGTATTAAACGTTCCGTTCCAAGTTTCAAGGATTCATTTTTTCCTTTTCGTATAGAAAGGAAGCTATGTTTTTGTTTTCCTTTTTAAAATATTGGGTCAGTGGATTGAGAAAGTTAAATCAGTTCTATTCGGTATTCGTATAAAGAAAATCATTTTTCCTCCTAAAGTCCTCCTATTTTTACGATCTTCTGTATTGTTATCTTATGAAGACAGAAGGTTATATATAGCTTGAAACCTATGTACCTATTAAGTGCACTTGGATATTAGATACACTTGGCCGGTAGGAGTTATATTAGATCCTAACGTCCAAAGTTGGTGGGGACTAGAAATCTGTAACTGAAAGTAAGTTGCTGACGTAGGTGAGGTCGTAGCTCTGAGAACTAATAAGGCGATGACCTCGTGAGAGCGAGGGGAGCGGCAGATGCAAGTGGCACACTACTATTCTGGGAGCATTCAGCTGTGCTAATAAATATAGATATGTTAATAAATGATACTAAAATGTTCTAATTCAAAGCTCTAATTCAGTTTGATAATAAAATAAATCTGCTAACTAACAAAGCTATTTTTAAAGCACATGCGATTTATATTGCAAAACTTGAAAGCTAAAAAAGTTAAAACATTATTCACCACTTTTATTATCCGAAACGATATAAACAGCTCCTGATTTAATTAGTGGAATAATTTATACGACAGTTCAGTTAGCATAAATAAAAAAATTCGGTCATTTAAGTACAGCTCGCTCCGGTTTGGTTACGATACGGAATGACGTCACGACTTTCCTTAAAACTGCATATTAATGCGCGCGCAAACACACGACCGACTGTAGGCGTGTGTGTACCGGGAAGGTGAGAATTTAACGAATGAGACTGTCCTATTTTTAGGATATTGGTGGATGAAGTAAGTGGTCTTATGAATAAATAAACAGGCATTTGTACAACGCATTGATCATGTAATTGAATTGCGTTGAGGGATTGGAAACGCTATTATAATATTTTACGTAAAGACTGGCGACAACTATTTGGGACATTCAGAAACTATGCATCACAATGGAGAACAATGGATTATAATTATGTTATTATAATTAGTTGGGGCACCACATACGCACGAGTAAACAGTAACCGAGCAATGCCCAAACAAGCTCACCTCAAACTGATTGATCCGCAAGCAGGCCGGAGCAGTAATCCAATCGTCGTCCCCATACTCCCCATAATCCAAACTTAGTTATATAACACATTATTATGTTAATTTCTACATAACATTGTGGCAAATGCTAGTTGAATCCAGTTCACGGAGGAATGGCGTTTGAAATTCAAATGGCGTATTATACATATCAAGGCAGCCGTCTGTCTGTTCGCGGTAACCACGTTAAGGCAGTTAACCCGATGTCTAATTTGACAAATCTCGGTTTAACCCGGAATCTACGGAATGATAACAAGCTCTGGATTGAATGGAAACTTTTTTATTTGCAATTTTTCGACGGATGGAAAACAAATTGGGAGTACTCGTAGTTTTGTAGCCAATTAATATTGTGGGAGCTGTGAATGTTCGTTACATACAGTTTGCAAAAATGTATCTGATGCTCTTAAATATGTCCCTGTTCTTTGACACATTGTTTATACATAAGTTTGCGAACATGTGCAGAACATATTACCCCCACTGTCGACTGAAGAGCTAACAAACTAAAGTATAACAAGCTTCTTCACTCCGGCTCCAATCACAAAGCAATATATGCAATCACTTGCCCAACTTCGCCGGCTGCCGCTACCCGCTGCGCACTACAAAGTCGGTGCACTCCAGCCAATGTGTCAATGGTCACAATCTCAGCAACTCGCTCCATTGTTCCCTTTCGTGGATATCTTTGTGCATTCTGTATCGAGGATAGTGGAAATCCGTTTATCATTCGTTTGACTGTTTGAAGATTGTGATAGACCGTCAAAATATTATTGATACTTATCGTTCGAATATTGACAGGCTACTCAATTTTAAGTAGCGTTTGAGTATAGTTCTATAATTAAAATTCTTTGTAAAATGACACAGATGGCTCGTTATATAAGTACTTATAACATAAAATTGAGTAACCTTTTAGTATTCGAGCGATAGAGTTGTAGAGTTCCCATGCAAAGGTAATTCATTGATAGAACATACTCAGATAACAAAACGTAGAGAAGCTCTGCACGAACAACGTTTAATAGAATATTGAAAACATTTAACAATCTTACTTACCACACTTACAATTTTGTAGTTGATACGTTTATTAAGTTAACAGTAAAATTTGTAAGTTTCGTTTCGTGCGATGTATGAATTAGTCTTAATTATCGCTAAACGTCATCGTCGTACGTAGTTCACAACAACTTCTAAATGTTGAACAGATATATTTGTAGCCAGACCCCAAAACGGAGTGTTCATTTAGTAACTTTGTTCCAACAACTTATTCTACCTGAGCCTGGCTAGCCTCGTTACAGCCGGTATAGGGATCTAATCGTTGTTAAACCTTTTACTAGAACAATATTGCGTTTATTACAAGACCTTAACGTGTTCGGTGTTACTAAATATTCAACTCCTAAGAGAAACCTTTATTGAATTTCACAGCGCTATGTATTTTTGAAAGCCAAACTTCTGCCGCCTACCCAATTATAATTACCACGAAACAAATTTTAGAAAAGGTATAGAACACAACAGTAGGACTGGCAACTTGTAAGACTTGCTGAGATGTAAGTTATTGTAGCACAAACAGTTACCAAGAAATGGTAAGTTTTCCGGAAATGTTGTAAACATTCTATTTTTATACGATATATTTATGTGTGTGTAAGTAAGAGTGTAGCAGTAACAATGTAACGCGGTGAGAATGTGTTAGTGTACGGGCCCCGGCCTCGGCTGTGCGCTCAAACACCTTGTAAGTGCTCACTTTATGTCCTTTCGGGGGTTAAACCAGAATTAATGATAAGTGCCACACTAACGTTATTTGATGGTATTACTGTATGGAATAGTCTTAACAAAGAAAGGAATTCATGTGTAATAGTCAAGTTTGTCTTATAAAATCTAATTACCTATAATAATTTAGGTAGTAATATCAGTACATTAGATAAAAGTTTGATGTGTGTAGACACAGTGGTATCTTACTGAACTAGAGGTAGTTGTTAACCTGACCACTTAACCAATAAGGTAAAATAGGCTTTTTTCAAACTCAAAATGAACGAAGTAAATGTAGGTGGATATTGTGTTGTTGGACTTAAAAACACACGAAGAAAACTATAAAGCATTTTGTATGAAACTGAATTTCGTTCTAAATCTTACAGTTCTTGTTTTAATTCCAGTTTTATTGTCCAGGTGGTGAAGGTCAGGAGCACGGCCCCGTGTTCCTCATGGAGCCGCCACCTCGGCTGGTGTTCTCCAACACGACGGGGGCACGCGCTTCGTGCGCTGCCCACGGGTTCCCCTCGCCACAGATAGCCTGGCAGCAACCTGATGGACAGCAACTTGATGATGTACCTGGACTTAGGTAAGATAGTAATAAGTTTTATTTATATCTAGATCATTTAAGATAGTTACTAGCGTATGACATACATGATTATGTATGTCTCACGAGTTAATTAATTTATATGGCATACGTAAACTCACGCCGCGCACGCCACCCATATTATATGAGTCCCGGCAAGACTTGAAACTGGTAGAGCTTTCTTGAAAAGTTCTCGTGAGTATTACCTACCTAATAATAATTGATGATTTTAGGTGTATATGATTTATGGTTACTTAAAAATGATAGGATCTGACTGAAAGGCTACTCTTTTTCAAAGTCGTTTCAAATAGTTTTGAATCTCGGAATATAACTTCGAATTTTACTAACAACCGATGCGATTGTGGCTACTACTAAACTAAGATAATATTTTTAGATTGACCTCTTTCCTGTTTAAAGTTTAGGATAAGATATTTTTGAACTTCATCTCTGTGACGAAATTAATCTTCAAGTTAACGACACAAACCTTAAGTTATGATATAACCTCTACTTGAAATTATTTCACAAGGAAGAAGTTTTGCCTTGATATCCTGTAATATTTATATTATTCAAATAAGTTTCATCACAAAACATATAAGGATATGGCGCGGGTTCACGCGCACTTTATAAACTCGCTCGTATTTATTGAGGGTGTTGAATAAGAAGGATCACGCCACAGCTGCGGCCCTCGTTCATACGACATACATTAGATATTGTCACTTTACTGAGAAAGGCAGGAAATAAACATGGCTGTTATTTTTGGAAAATTCTTTTTAAATCGGGGATAAGCACAGAAAAGAGATTCTTAAGGTGTGTAGGTAAAGGTAGATGTTAAACTGTCAAACACCAAGCGGTCACCGGTGACCGCAACCTATTGTTCTATAATTGTGTCTACAAAACCGGTACTCGACGAGTTAAATAGGTCGTCTTGTTTTCTAAATGTATAATAATGAAGCTTACCTTCATGATTGGTTTGTTTTCTAAGTTAAATTGAGATCATTTAAACCACTAGAAAGAACCCAAATTCGTTTTTAATCTGACAACTGCTCAGTATTATTATTCAATATTCATGTCTTACCTCTACAAATAGTTTATGTTTATTAAGTTTTAAACTTAATTAAACAACCAAATCCGTTTAACGGTACAATTCCGTTTCTAACCACAAAATCCATCTCGGAGCTTCATTCAATACTAAGACACCAGCAACTCCTCTCGAAAAGTAAATAAACACGTACGAATATGTATCGCAAGTGTTGTATAATATAAAAGGGATCACAGCGCCACCTGGTGCCGAACGTGCGCAGAAACTGCCGGGAATTACAATAAGATGTGGTTTGTCGACTACGCTCGGTAACATGTTTGTGTGCTGATGAGATTGGCTGGAGAATAAAATAGGGTAACTACGTTATATGCCGCTCCGATGTGGCTTTGTATCCTTATATTTGATAGTAACACACGAATCTAATATTTGTCTTGATAAATCTTTGTGAGGAATGAAAATGTAGCACTTACCAAATGAAAAGTGCTGCGAATTGTCCGCATCACGCGGTGAGCTGACACTAAAGTTATTTAAATTAAAGTGTAATGATAATTTATAACCTACTAGCGTACTATGTATGATAGATACTGATATAATTTATATTTATCTCTCTCATAATGAATCAACATAAATGATATTAACGCCCAGTTTAATGAATGAAGTATTAACCTGGAATTACAAATTATTATTTTATTGGCAGTGATACATATAGAGTTCACTGATTGTGATGTACAAAGCAAATTGTACAATGCTCGTGTGTTCATAAGGTTGTATAGAGGTTGCGGTCAGAGCTGGCAGCGACTGGAGGAGAGCTCTCGAGCTAGTAGCTACTCACGAGCAAATATATTACTAACGAGAGTGCTTCACTGAACAACTGTGAGTACAGCGCGCTTTCAATGACTACCTAGTTCTAGGCAATAAAATGAACAACTTATTGTAAACAATGGTTTTTTACTGTCCTGTTTTCAAATAAATAAATAATAAAAATCGTTCTGGAATCTGTTATATTAAAACTATGTGGCAGCGTGACAGTCGTCGTGTCGCGGGTCGCGGAATGCTGCTCATGAATATGAGTATCTAGCATGGCTTGAAACTAGTCGAGTTCCTCGTCAAACAGTGACATGGGTAAGCCGAAAACATAATAATTTTTAATTTAACAAAATATCTTTACAAAAATACACACAAGTACCTGGATAGTGTGAAACAGTTCTAAATGCAAAATTAGCAAAGCTCCGCGTTAAGCCTTGAATTAGAATGATACAGTTTGCGGTACAAACGGTATATCTTTATAATAATCCAAGTGTCGAGGCGCGATTCAGATGAGCGCCATGAAATATGTATCAGACATTGTGAATAGTGCGGCTAGGGGTGGTGATACACCGGGAGCGATGCTCCGCGCGCCCTCTATACTCTTTTTCTTTCATTTTCATTTGCTGTCTGCACAGATATCCTTTGTGAATTTTCAAATGTTCGTGTGAGCTTCCTTTGTTTTGTGTTGCATATGAACGATGGTTTAAAAAGTTGAATTATCTACTTTAATATCTTTAAACCTACATTGGCTTAAAAAAATGGATCTATTTCTCAATTTTCTTAAGATAAACATTGAATGTAATAAACACCAAGCAAACTGCTGAAAATATCAACTGGAAAACTATCCACTAGTCACGAACATTAGCATAATGAAAGCCCTTTTATTCAAAACTACTAGTTAATTATTAGTTCACCTTTTACAACTGAGTTCATAAACTAACATTCAATATTATAATGTGACGAAGTGGGGCGGGTTGCTGTGAACCTCGAGGCCCTCGTAACTAAGTTAGAAAGTAATAAGCTGATAAAATTATCTTGTTTGTCCAAACTCTGGAGTCTAATCGAGTGTGAACATCAAAAATAATATCACGCCACAGTGGATCGTAAATCTAGCGAGGCGAGTTGAAAGAGTGTGTGGTTAGGTACTAAAATAATATACATGTCGAAGCGTCAACGCATATCAATTAATTTAGATGTGGCAACTATTGTTTGAGAACGTCAAGTAATTACTTGAGGATGGTTAGCGCGGAGTAATGGCAACACCGATGGAAATATCGATCCGGAAGTTTAATCAGACTTTGACATTTGACAGCAAATGACGTTGACAGACGTCACTGAGCGCGGGAACACTTTTGGAAAGGATCGCGGTGGTGGCGGCAGCTAGAAGGGTTACTCCCCGCTAAACTTCCTGCGTTCTTACTAATATCAATAATTTAGTGTGATTCGACAATGTCGCGACCCACCGGTAGCGTATCTCCGACATACATATGTGTGGCTTTCGTATATAAAGCTCTAAATAATTCTGAATAATTTGTTCTTTATAGTACACTTGTCACATATAAGTATTTGTAGTAGATAATTATTTAATTAAAGCCTTGTTTATAAAATTAACCATTTATATTTTTCTTTATCCATTTTGTTTTTTTACTCATTTTCAATAAGTAACAATCATCAACCTACATATTTCAAACTTATTTAAAAAAAAAACATTTACCGCATAATATTTTCATGTATACCAACTCAAAACAAAAACTCTCATTGTGTCCCCACCTTAACTTAGATATCGACCAACCAGTTATTTTGATTCTCAATTTTTAGCGACATTCGGTGCAGTAGGCCGGTGATACACACAGCTATAAGTAGTACAATGTTCCCACGAGACTTGCATGCAATATCTCATAATTATACCTGTCACAGTTCTGACATTATCTTGTCACAGCGATCGGGAAATAAAAGAGATGTCATAGTTGAATGGAATTTATGGGCTTTGTTTCTCCGTCTTTGTATGTTCGGGTACACTATGTATCGTGTAGTGTAGTTTTCGTGTACTCAAATGAAGAGACAAGGTAAAATGGTATCTTTAGTTCTTGGCATTGCTATAACAATGTCTTACTTAGAAATGTGGTTTGACATTCATTTAAGTCTTGAAGAAAAAATGGCAATATAAAGTCTAAAAAATATTTTTCACGTCTACACACATTGTTTCATACCAATATTCTTGAACTGTTACTTTATAAAAGTAACAAATAAAACACACTAAAATATAAACAAACACATACATTTATATATAACCATGCTTTTTCATTTTGATGTGAACCAATCCATTCTGTGAAGATATTGCAATACGTCATGAGCTACCCTTTTTCCAGCACATCACATTAGGCAGCAGAACTGAATGCTCGGCTTCTAAATATGGCGCCCGCTTCCTGATCTCACTCGATCAATAGTTCACGCTATTTTTGAAACTGAGCCCCTTATAATGTCTAAATAAGTACTAGGAATATAAGATTTCTAGTTTATTGTAGGTCACGTTGGACGTCAATGTGTTTTTGTTCCTAGCTTCAAACTGGAGTGGAGTTTGGGAAGTAAATGATATGACGTAATACCAGTAAGTTATATGATTTAAAACGTGTGACAACTATTAGATTTCCATTGCTTACGGTTATAAAGTATATGAAACTGTCATTCCTTATTCTTAAAGCTTCCTTCGTCCTATATCAAATCCTAAAAATTCCCTATGTACTAACTTGCAATCGACCCAAATGTCATCACCAGATTCGACCAAAATGTATGATTTTATGAGCTCATCGAAACTCAATTCCCAATGAAAGTAAAATTTTAATAGCTGGTTGTAACTTTCAGCTACTTTTTCTCAATTCCCTCGATGACCAGCTTTGTATTTCGCGATCAAATATGAGCAACAATATTTCAAGCGAGTAACACCGCGGGATGACACTAGTTTGTAATAAATGTTATTTTACGGTGTACCGTAACCATGTGTCGTAATAAATAACCTCTATTTTCAGTACAATACAAGTGATATTTCAGAGGTACTATATTCCCGGGAGGTCGGAGGTAAGACGTCTAAAGCCAAAGTGTAGGTTTACTGGACCCAACGGCTATATTGTTCCTAAGTTTGTGAATATTATTTTTTGTT